CACTGAGAGGGAGAAAAAGGGCTGGTGCTTAGAAATGGGGAGATAGCAACTTCGGTTTTTTAACTGTCTCTTCTTAATGTGGCTTTCCTCCCATGAATGGTGCCAAGCAAGCTGTTGAATTGTAAGGTCAATCTGCTGTCCATGCGGAGAAAAAGAAATCGGTGTTGTTAATTATCCTGCTGATATAAGCAGGGTGGGATGTATGCTGTGATTCCTCAGGAACGCAGAATGTGGTACGAAATCTGGGTCCGGTTTCCTGAATAGCTCTGCTTTCTTTCTTCTCTTTTCCGTTTTTATGGCAAGTTTCTAGTCCCTATGGATGTGGAGATATGCTTGAGGAACTTCTGAAACCAGATGGGTGGCTGCCTAACTAACTAAGATCTCCAGTGGTTGGAGACTGAGCGTCTGGGGTCTCTCGTGGCTCATTCAATGACTAAGCGAACAATTGCTGAAAATGCATAAAGGTTACAGGGTGTTTGCAAAATAAAAGCAATTTGGCATTCTCCCAGTTTGCGTAACCTATGCAGATTGTGGGATTTGGCTTTTCCGTTGTGCTGAATTTGGAATGCCTAGGTGGGTAGATTTAATTTTATTCCAGTGCAGAGTACGTGCTGCCCTGTTTTATAAGCCTGGTGACACAGAATGGCGTCGTGCCTGCAAACGAGAGCTCACAGGCGCTTCTGTTCGTCCCTTTCCAGTGTTTTACTGGCAGCTTTTTTTACTAGCCCTTGCTCCTGTGCTTCCAAGTGCAGCCAGATGTGTAGGCATGAGAAGATGGTGATGATACTCACCACATCTGGAAAAGCCTCGCCTGCTGGTTTCTGCAAATTTCAGTGCTGTTAAAAGGAACAGATGCAGCAGCTGGGGTAGCTCAGTCAGCAGAGCATAAGACATTTAATCTCAGGGTCGTATGTTTGAGCCCCACCTTGGGCAAAAAAAATCCGGGGGAGGGGGTGGAATATGACGTTTGTGGTCCCTTCCAACTCTACAATGCTGTGATTCTAAGATACGGACAATTTGGGGTTGGCACTTGTTCATAGTAGACTTCCTAGAATTCTCTCCATACACACTGTATATGGATTTGGTTGGCTGGTTGGAATTGGATCAGCATAACTGCGCATCATTGCAGGTATAGTTTGTGAAATTGTTTTGTGTAAATCTAAGGGTGAAGGTTCAAGAAAAAGTTGGTTTTAAAAGGGTGAAACAGTGGTACCTTGGGTTAAGTACTTAATTCGTTCTGGAGGTCCGTTCTTAACCTGAAACTGTTCTTAATCTGAAGCACCACTTTAGCTAATGGGGCCTCCTGCTGCCGCCGCACCGCCAGAGCACAATTTCTGTTCTCATCCTGAAGCAAATTTCTTAACCTGAAGCAGTATTTCTGGGTTAGCGGAGTCTGTAACCTGAAGTGTATTTAACCTGAAGCGTATGTAACCTGAGGTAAAGGGAGCCCTGACCATTAGGTCCAGTTGTGACCGACTCTGGGGTTGCAGAGCTCATCTTGCTTTATTGGCCGAGGGAGCTGGCGTACAGCTTCTGGGTCATGTGGCCAGCATGACTAAGCTGCTTTCTAGCGAACCAGAGCAGCCCACGGAAACACCGTTTACCTTCCCGCCGGAGCGGTACCTATTTATCTACTTGCACTTTGACGTGCTTTCGAACTGCTAGGTTGGCAGGAGCAGGGACCGAGCAACAGGAGCTCACCCCGTCGCGGGGATTTGAACTGCCGACCTTCTGATCGGCAAGTCCTAGGCTCTGTGGTTTAACCCACAGCACAACCCACGTCCCTTGTAACCTGAGGTACCACTGTATAAAAAAGGGAGACAGGGGATGAGATTGCAGGGTTTTATTCTTTTTTAATACAGCCTATCAGTTGCATCTTCTGTAGTTTGGAATTACATTGGGTCGTGGTGGAGGGAATCTTAATCCATTCCAAGTGGCTTTTTCCCGTACAACCACGCTTATTCCCCTGCAAGTTATACACACTACTTTCAGCAAATGGGACTCTCCTAATGACGGGGCCTGTAATTGAAAATTAGTTTACTGCAGTCTTCACAGCCTCTTGAGACTAAATATAAAAGCAGAAATGCATATGTCCATGTACAGTATAGATGTATCACACACACACACACACACACACACACACACAGAGAGAGAGAGAGAGAGAGAATACCTTTCAAACATTCAGTGTCTGCAGGCTATGATTAAATGAGATTATTAACATTGCGAAGTTTTTGTGCAGGGTTTTACTGTCAAAGTAAAAAATTGACTATTTTACTATACTATTTGCAGAGTTCAGAAATCTCTGTTGAAAAGGAAGGTGCATGTGTGTGTTTAAGGGATGTGAGGTGGGGCGGGGCGGGGCGGGGGAGGCAAGGAGAGATTCAATCTTGATCCTTTTTGTCTCTGGAACCAGCAGGCTGGCAAGTTGAGAGCCATTTGCAGGTTTGCCAAAAGCACAATTAGCTAATAACTGGCTTGAAACTGTTAGGGATTTGATGTGTGTTTTTGGTAAATGGTTCTGAAATGATTGATGGAATTGGAAAGAAAGCAGTAGGGTCTAGCTAAACGCTTTAATTTTGAGAAACGGGGGTCACCGGTCCTCTGTGTTTAATTGCCAAAATTTCTTCTCCAAACCAGTCTTGCATCACAACACACACACACACACACACACACACACACACACTGCTCTTACTCCTCCCTAGCCCAGCTAATTTGTCCCCTGCTGGCCCACAGTTACACAATCTGACTCTTTCTAGCCATTTTTCATCCTTTACTGGGTTGATTAAGGTGAGATTGTATTGGTGCCTGGTTGCTCTTGGTTGGCTGTATTGGTTGTCAAGCCTCTTTCTCCAGTGACAATAAATTGATGCCTTCGTGGGGCAACTTTTGCATCAATATTTCCAGAATGGAAAGCATGAGTGACTTAATGGGGTGCATTAAATCAATTCATTAATCACATATTCCAAACGTAGATTTATTAAAAAATGATAACAATCCGACATTAATCGGAGCCAGTCTTCCTCACCCCAAGATCATTCTAGCAACAAAAATTGCAGTAGCATCTGTTGAGCTCAGAAATGCATCTCAAGACCGTTTTCCAAACAACAAATGGTTTTTGTTCTGCTGCTTAGTCAAAAGAGATGCTGTATGTTTTTGTGTGTTGTTTAATATGAAGACATAATATTAATCCCAGCTTCTCCCAAGGGTAGTTTACAACGCGAAACCGAAAATCCCAAGACGAGAAAAATAGACATTGTTTGCAGTGTTTGTCGTGTTTACAAAGAACAGCAAAGCAGGACAAACTCCAAGCCCAGGTTCCCTTTTAGTGAGATGGGTTGTCTATTTCTGACACACGTCACTTTTCCATGTGTTAGGCCTACCCTGTTTCCACAATAATTCACGATTATTTTAAGTGAATTCCAAAAAAAAAATTGCATTCAAATTGATGTACGAACCCAGGAGGTGAAAATGAGGGCCATTCAGTTAAAAATGTGGACCAAACCAAATTCTTCTCCATCTCTGTTTTCTCTCATGTTTTCTCTCCCTGCATTCAGTCTCCCTGTCTCCTTGAACCTCTGTTAAAAGTCGCCCCTATTCTCTGCTTCTCTTACCAGTGACGGCATTGCACTGCAAACCCCACACCCTCCAACATTCCTCAGGTGGAAATAGGAACATTTCCCACCTCCCCCACCACAACCGACCCTCCTTGACCCCCCCCCCCCATTTTTTGTCTGCCCGTCCTCCATTGCTTTTAAACAGAAATAATCTGTAGGACGGCCAGGGCTGGATTTAGGTTTGATGAGGCCCTAAGCTACTGAAGGTAATGGGGCCCTTTCTATGTCCAGCTATCCTTTGTCAACAACAAATTGTCTGTGCTGTTTTTTGTGTTGAATATATGCTATATGGCAATTTATGGACCTAATAGGTATCTAAAGCCATTTCCACATGCAGAATGTAGGCACCCTATATATTGTTGTTGTTGTTGTTGTTGTTGTTTAGTCGTTTAGTCATTTCCGACTCTTTGTGACCCCATGGACCAGAGCATGCCAGGCACTCCTGTCTTCCACTGCCTCCCGCAGTTTGGTCAAACTCATGCTGGTAGCTTCGAGAACACTGTCCAACCATCTCGTCCTCTGTCGTCCCCTTCTCCTTGTGCCCTCCATCTTTCCCAACATCAGGGTCTTTTCCAGGGAGTCTTCTCTTCTCATGAGGTGGCCAAAGTATTGGAGCCTCAGCTTCAGGATCTGTCCTTCCAGTGAGCACTCAGGGCTGATTTCCTTAACAATGGGTAGGTTTGATCTTCTTGCAGTCCATGGGACTCTCAAGAGTCTCCTCCAGCACCATAATTCAAAAGCATCAATTCTTCAGCGATCAGCCTTCTTGATGGTCCAGCTCTCACTTCCCTACATCACTACTGGGAAAACCATGGCTTTAACTATACAGACCTTTGTTGGCAAGGTGATGTCTCTGCTTTTTAAGATGCTGTCTAGATTTGTCATTGCCTATATATAGAAATGAGCAAACCAGTGATATTTTAGGGAGCAGGCTAGCAAGCGGGGCCCCATTACTCGCATCATAGGAACCTACACAACACAAAACACTGTTTCTGTATGTAGGTTTTTGTTTTATTTGTTTTTTATCTTATATTTTGGAAATGTACACCCAGGTGTTTTTATTTTCTTTAATTTTTGGGGGGGGGCAAGAGAGTGGGGCCCTAAGCTATAGCTTATTTAGCTTATATGTAAATCCAGCACTGAGGACGGGGACTCAGTTCAGCTCACTCAGTTGCTTTCATATTGCCATCTACATTTGTTTTCCTTTCTCTCTTTTGCTTTTGTTCCTGTTGTTTCTCCCCTAATGCGATGCCAGCTTTGCAGATGTGAGCTGGTCCGGCGATGAGTCTAACCAGATGTGCAGCGCCAGATGTTTACATTTGCATGCACAGTTACTCCCAGGCTCATTGTTAATTTATTATTTCCCCCCTCTCTGTCTCCTGTTAGGTATGATTATCGTGAAATGCTGCACAATGCCACTTTCTGTCTCGTCCCTCGTGGCCGGAGGCTGGGATCCTTCAGGTTCCTGGAGGCCCTGCAGGTAAGATCAACCGTTTGACTGGAGACTTGGAGCCGTTTAGCACTCCTGTCAGCTGGAATTCTGTGCTGCGCAATGGCAAGGCAAAAGGAAGGCGGATTGGAGATTTCATTTCCCTAATAGTCCATAATCCGGCATTCCTACTTCAGGAGCAGTTGGCAGCTATTTTGCCCGCACCAAAGCTGGGTTGACTTAGCCTATGGTTTACCAGATTTTTTTCAATGAATCCGGGGACACTTTTTTATTTGAAAGCTGAGTAGCAACAGGGAGTCAGTAGTGGGAATGGTGAGGCAAAAAACCCTGGGCCCAAGCACACATGCATATTGTATAAATGTGCAAAGCCCCTCTTTCGCACCCTGTGAAACATAAATGCACAGTTTTTTAAAAAAACTGGGCAATGGCGTGCCACCGTCCCGTGACTCCCAAGCCTTCCCTGATCTCCTGCCCCCTTCCCCCTTTGTTTTGACAATTCAGGGGAGGCTCGGGAGTAGCGGGCGAGCAGCCATTGCCCAGTTAAAAAAAACACCTGCACATTTATGTTTTGCAGGGTGCAAAAGAAGGGCTTTGCACCTTGCCTGGCAGAGAAACCGCACGCCTTGCTCCCCTCCTGGGCAACAGCCATCCGCCCGCGACTCCTGAGCCTCCCTCGATCTTTCAAAACAAAGGGGGAAGGGGGCAGGAGATCTGTACCACCAGACGTCCCCGGTTCACGTTTGGCAGAGGCAGCAGCAGCGAGTAGCGAGCAACTCCTGAAGCCAGCCAGAGCTAACTGCGCTACCAGGCTGCCGCTGCCACGTTTCCCGGGGACGGAGTTGCAAATCTGGGGACATTCCAGGGATGGAATTTGTCCGGAGACAGATTTGTAAATCCGGGGACTGTCCCCGGGAACCAGGGACGTCTGGTAACCCTAACTTAGCCTAAGAGGGTTTGTTGAACTTGGGGAGGTGGGTGGTGGGGGAGAGAATCTATATTCCTGGAGAAACACTGACTTTGTCCAACCAGGAAGTTAGGAGGAAATAAATAATACAGCTCATTGTTTTAATTCAGCCGAGACAAAATTGCCTATAAATTCTGCCCGGGTTTTCACATTGCATACTAAGTAAGTTTTAAGTGACGGCATCAATTAGGTTGGATTTTGAACAGGCAGGCGACAGGGAAGCGATCTGCAGGGGAGAGCACGCCCAGGGTTAAAATGGCATGAAAATAACTGTTAAAAAATAAAGGGCATCTCTGCAGCAAAAGGCTGGGGTCGGGAGGGTTCTGCTTTGCCGCGGTGACGTCTGTCCTTGACCCCGCATTGATCCACCAGGATTTCAAAACAGCAGGCACTGGAAACGGTAGGGTCAGTTGTGAATGGCACAGTTGTGAATGGAAAGGAAATGAGCCTGTTACCATGGCACACAAGTGGAGGTGCGGGAGGCCATGCCGTAAAAGGAAAGATGCCGCATTTACAAATTTGGATCCCACAAAACAAAACGCCTGAACCATCAAAGGCCGAGACAGAGAATATGACCGAAGCTGTAAAATGAAGTTGCTGGAAGCAGCCCTGTGGAGAAGGGCTTCAGGAAAGGTCTGTTCCCAGCTGGAATTCCCCCACACTCTGTGGGTGCTGGAGCTACCGAGAGATATAAATAGAATACAATGGAATCCATATATCAAAATCTAAAATTCTAATCACTGATATAACCAAGCTAGGAATTAATAGCCAGCTTGGGTGAACAGGGGAGTTTTAAGGAGGCACCAAAAGCTCATCAGAGTTTGGGCTCACTTTCTTTAGAGGATATGGAATTCCGTAGGCTGGGTGCCAACACAGAGAAGGCCTTTCCCACTGGGTTGCCATGGAATGTGCTTCAGCTGGGGTCGGTAAAACCAGGAGAGCCTTTTCTGAGGACCTCGACATGCAGGAAGGTCTTTTGTGGGTGCAGGCCTTCCTCCAGATAGCCAGACCTGAAGTCGTTAGGGCATTGTATATCAACAAAAGCACCTTCATCCCTCGTAACCTCTCTCAATGGGTGGGTGGGTGGGTGCACACACACACACACACACACACACACACACACACACACACACAGAACCTAACCACATGATGCTGCCACAACCCCCTACGCTAACTGTGTGACAGAATGAAAGAACAACACCCCCATCTCTCTCTCTCCCCTCTCTTTTCCCCCAACTGCAAGATGTCTATGACAAAAGTGTCTCTCACTATGTGCAAATGAACCGTGAAAAAGACTCTGTGAGGTGTCATGTACTTTCCCATGTTTTGAAAATCTTTAATAAAAAAACCTATTATTTATTTATTTTTAAAAATAAGCACCTTCGTTTTGATTCAGTAGCAAATCAGTAGCCATGGCAAACCCTTCAGAACCGGTGCAATATGATTGCGATAGGGAGGCCCACGCAGCAACGTAGCTGCCGTGTTCTGCATTTGCTGGACCTTCTGACCCAACAGCAAGCCCACACAGGGGTGTACCAATGGGCCTGTACCAATCTGTGTGTACCCATGGCATTAGAGGGAATAAACAAGGCCCATTCTGTTGATGGGCTTCACACTCTTTCTCTGTGGACTGAGTATATGAGGACCTGCCAGACCCAAGGTTCAGTGATCCTCAAAATGTGGCATCGCAATGGTCCCACAATACTTTTCAACATAATTCTCTATTAAAGTCCCATTTCTGCAGAATAGGCTGCAATTTCATTGCCACGGGGCCTTGGAAGGGCCAGCGTGCCTTTGCTGCAATTGTTTCCATTTTCCTGATTTTAATGATTGCCTACGCAGGCTGCCTGTGTTCCTGTGATGCTCAGCAATGGATGGGAGCTGCCATTCTCCGAAGTGATTGATTGGAATCAAGCTGCCGTCATAGGGGATGAGAGATTGTTATTACAGGTAAGGCGGGAGGAGGGGAGGGAGAAACCGCGGCCTTCGTCAGAGTGGTTGACAGTGGCAGCCATTTCCCACACTTCCAGGAAAGATGTATCCGAAAGGTCACGGCTATAAAAGAGATTTTTATCAGGAGGGATTTGTCTGTGTCATTGTGAATATTAACTCATTTAATAAGGCATCATTCACTTTCTGACATGAAGGTCACTCAGGCCTCCAAATGTCTTGGTTAAAAATGTACGAGCAGCTCATTCTTTTTTAGAGAAATGCGCACCAGCTTCTGAGTTGCAAAGTGCTTGGAAGGGAAAAGTTTCTTTCAACTTCCAAGATATTCATGGTTCTGAACGGTCTCAATGGCTGGTATCTGACTTACCCTCACAAGAGACCAGTTGAAGTCGACAGATTTAAATAGGTGTTTTGAGGTGTAGACGTGTACTTTTCATTCAAAGTACACATTTATATGTGTGTTTTGATGGTTTAAACATTCGAAGGGTAGATTCTGGTGGGTAGCTAAGTTCCAATCCACATATTAGTCCAAGAGCTGCAGATCAGTATGGAAATTTTCAAAGTTCATATTCCTCAAAACAAGACACCGGACCCTTCCTAGTCTCCTATTCCCCTTTCTCTAGGGGGACAGGAACTTGGATGCAATAGTATTCCACACTGCAAGACATTATTTGGTGGCAGCTCAGAATGGCTTCACAATGGGATATGATGTAGAAACATGGGGAAAGGATGGACGTGTCCCTTCGATCCTTTTCTCCTCTTCCATGGGCCAATTATTGCAAACCAGTAGTTTCTTGGAAGAGAAAGTGAGACCAGCCAAGCTACACAGTCAGGCCAGGCCCACACAGAGATACCATTTTGTATATAAAAATTTTATTTGCTTTTCTGTTACATATTTCACATTTATACAATAACCACCCAAACACTCCCAATAGTCTCAATTTCCCTCCCGCTCCTTCCATGGTGTCCTCAGTTACCCACCTACTCTGCATATGCTAACTATTCCATACCTTCCCCTCTCGTCTTCTTTTTACCTCACTTTTCCTTATACCTCTGAATCTACTCTAATCCTGCTAATGTATTTACCTGCTGACACTGCCTTTTAATACAATCTACAAATATATTCCAATCTTCCTTGTACGTTCTATCATCTTGATCAGACCTGCTAATATTCCAACACCTTAAGATACCATTCCTCCTTCTCCAGTGATTTGAAATACACCATTATGTAATGCATGAGGATATAAGGTGAGCCCTGGGGCTCAAGGCCTTTTTGTTTCCACGGCGGCCTACCAGATACTTGTGGACATCCTGAAAGCAGTGGACCTGCTCCCATTTTGTTGCTGTTGTTGTTCAGTCGTTTAGTCATGTCTGTCTCTTCGTGACCCCATGGACCAGAGCACGCCAGGCACTCCTGTCTTCCACTGCCTCCTGCAGTTTGGTCAAACTCATGCTGGTAGCTTCGAGAACACTGTCCAACCATCTCGTCCTCTGTCGTCCCCTTCTCCTTGTGCCCTCCATCTTTCCCAACATCAGGGTCTTTTCCAGGGAGTCTTCTCTTCTCATGAGGTGGCCAAAGTACTGGAACCTCAGCTTCAGGATCTGTCCTTCCAGTGAGCACTCAGGGCTGATTTCCTTCAGAATGGATAGGTTTGATCTTCTTGCAGTCCATGGGACTCTCAAGAGTCTCCTCCAGCACCATAATTCAAAAGCATCAATTCTCCGGCGATCAGCCTTCTTTATGGTCCGGCTCTCACTTCCATACATCACTACTGGGAAAACCATAGCTTTAATTATATTAACTAGTATTCAGGGGCATATTGCCTCCAGCTCTTGAGGCAGTGCTTGGCCCTCCTACCGATCGCCATTAATAGCACGAGGCTCCATGAATTTATCTAACCTCCCATGAAAGCCGTCCAAGTTGGTGGCCATTGCTGTTCCTTGCAAGTAGCAGGTTCTGCCATTGAATTACGCCCTGTGTGAAGCAGCCCTCTGTTTGGTCTGTCCCGAATTTCCTACCATTCGTCTTAATTGGATGACCCAGTATTGTCAGGGACTGGACCTAAGAGGAGGGGGAGAAGGAGGGTTGGAGATCGCCCCCTCCTTCTCCTCTGCTTCCCTTGGAGGAGGACAGGGAATGGTGGAGATTGCCGCCCCCCCCCCCCTTTTCCACCAGTAGCTTCCAGAAAAAAGGGAGACAGGATTGAATTACAGCAAAACTCAGAACAGCTTAGTTATGAGGTGTTAGGAGAAGGAGGGGGAGAACAGCCAGCTTGGATAGCATAGAAGAGCCACCCTCCCCAAAATCTTGTCGCCCAATTAGAGTTCAAGAGCGATGGGCTCAAGGACATTTGATTACTGCTCCCCCCCCCCCCCCCGTAGAGCCAAGGGCTGTTGCCGGGGAGAGAAGGGCAGGAGCTCAGAGTGAGCAATGCCACTATGGAGTAAAGGACAGGATTCTTTGTCTTGCACCACGATGACTGAATAAAACCATAAATACTTTCTTGTTTCTTCCTTGCTCTTTGATGCTATCGGGGGGGGGGGGAATACCCCAGGCCTGACAGCAAGAGAGGAAGGGAAAATTCACCCTATTCATTTTCTCCCTGACGGTCCTGATTTTATGCACCTCTGTCTGCTCTTCCAACGTCAGGGAAATAGAGGCACATCCCTGCATCTTGATGCATCCGGATGCCAGGAACTGAAACTATGCAAAGCATAGAATCAAAGACTTGTAAAGCTAGGATCATCAAATCCAACCCTCTGCAATGCAGGAATACAGTGGTACCTCAGGTTACATACGCTTCAGGTTACATACTCCGCTAACCCAGAAATAGTGCTTCAGGTTAAGAACTTTGCTTCAGGATGAGAACAGAAATCGTGCTCCGGCGGTGCTGCAGCAGCGGGAGGCCCCATTAGCTAAAGTGGTGCTTCAGGTTAAGAACAGTTTCAGGTTAAGAACGGACCTCCAGAACGAATTAAGTACTTAACCTGAGGTACCACTGTATACAGCTATCCCATATGGGGATCAAACCTGCGACCTTGGTGTTATCAGCACCACGCTTGAACCAGTTGAGCTATCCAGCAGTCCAGCGCAGCTCTATTGCTTGATGATGGCCCCTGCCATGCAACCGAAATATCTAAATCATGCACATTTTTAAAATCTGCATGACCCAGCTGCAGGATCTGGGCTTTCTGGTTGCAGAAGGCAAAGGGAAGGAAGGATTCCGGGTCTCCCTCTCTTCTCTCCCCGCTCCACTTGCCTCCCCACATGGGGACATTAATGTTCCAAATCTTTGTCCTGTTCTTGTAATGCAGAATTGATTCTCTTCACAGCTGCTTCCTTACCAAGGCAAGCTACTACGCCATTATTAACAGTGGTTTTTAAAGACCTGGCGCTGGGCCAGAATGTCTGCTCTGGGAAATGTTTTTGTTGTGTTACAGTTTCCCATTTCTCATTTTTAGACTAGCTCGGATGTTTTTATTTACATATTCTCTTCATCCTTGCACCAGCTCCCACTCCAGGAAGCTTGAACCAGTTAGACGCTCTCTGTCTCTCTCTCTCTCCCCCCCCCTACCCTACCCTCCTTTTTTAATGCAAAAGTCATTCCCCCTCCCCACCTTCTCTTCCCCATTATTACACAAATGACCCGCTATTAAAACGTCATCCCTTTCTAATGATTCTAGTGTATTTGTGGCAGATCAGCACAGATCCATCATTTCCCACACCCAACTTCTAGGCCAAGAAGATTAATAGCAAATAGCCAAGCACGGTTAAAAATGGGAGCTCTGGTTTCGGCTCCCATCTGTTAGAAGTGAATCAACTCACCCAAAAATATATAGTTTAGAAAATAAGCTTTCCCCCTGCTTTGCAAATATGAATGGCTCGCTCTGTCTAATGGATTTGATGCTTCTTCGTTGCACACACAGGTATATATCAAAAGATTCGGCTGAAAGCGCTTGGGCAAAAATAACTTAATGCGATCAATGCAAATTTATACTGCAAAAATAGCTGCCTAACAAGTAAAAATGCATACGCTTAAACATTGCAAAAAAACCCGTCTCCAAATGCACGTGGCCATTAAACATTCTACCTGTACATATTGCCCAGATATTTTTGCCCTATAACGTTTTAGCCATGAGCAAGGCTGCAAGAACAATTCACAGTACCGGTTTAGTGAAAAAACAAATAAAGTGAAAGTAGGCTGCAATTATAAATGCACTTACTCGTGAGTAACCCTCATTGGATACATGGGGCTCGCTTCTGATTGCACAGTTAGGTTTGGGTATTAGGTTATCTGTTGCAATCTGCCTTAGGAAGAGGTTATTTGGAAAGGCAACTGAGCAGTTTTTAAATAATATTCTAGCATCATAGGAAAAATGCACCTTCTGCATCATAACCGGGGTCTCAGCAGTCCTGGTCTGGCTCTGAACAGTTGATATATCTGGCTGTTCTCCTCCTCCTGGCCATATTTTCAGTGATGGCTCTAATGCAGGAGTGGGGAAACTGTGGACCTCCAATTGTTGGACTCCAACTCCCCATCAGCCTCAGCCAGACAGCCAATCTTCAGGGATTCTGGAAGTTGCGTGTCGAGGACCCCCAAGACACCCCTGAATAAAAACATGTTCACACATCATTTTTGTTTTTGTTTTTGGCATAATTTTGGCCACAACTTTATTGAATTACAGTAAGTGAGTGGTTGCTTAGGCATTGGTTAGCGACCATCTGTTCCCACTTGGAGGTGGGAACAGAACTGACAACCACACCCATGCGGAAGTCAGTAAGGGTAAACAATTTTGGGGAGAGAAAAAGCTGGGCACCAGGCTCTCCGCTCTCCCCAAGGCTCCCTGGGGTTCTTGCATGGCCCTAGCCCTTTGCCAGGGATATGGACAAAAGCATGGCGAGCCCCTGGATTCCTTTAATGGAATACCCTTGCAGCAGCAGCATTGGAGGGGCAGGCACAACCACATCCCCTCCACCAACCCAAAAATTAACCAATGCCTAACTGCAACCTTACAAGTTGTGACGATTTGCTATGAAGTAGGCGAAACCCAAATGGCACCAGCCAATCAGCCAAATGGTAAAATTCCTACTGGGCCCCTGCCTCAAGAGCAGACGATCCCATGACAGGCATAGCAAGGTCAGAGTCAAAAAGGTACCCCTGCCCGTACGGGCCAGTCTTGACAGACTCTCGGGTTGTGCGCCCATCTCACTCAAGAGGCTGGGGGCCAGCGCTGTCCGGAGACACTTCCAGGTCACGTGGCCAGCGTGACAAAGCTGCATCTGGCGAGCCAGCGCAGCACACGGAACGCCGTTTACCTTCCCGCTGGTAAATAGTCCCTATTTATCTACTTGCACCCGGGGGTGCTTTCGAACTGCTAGGTTGGCAGGTGCTGGGACCGAGCAGCGGGAGCGCACCCTGCCGCAGGGATTCGAACCGCCGACCTTTCGATCGGCAAGCCCTAGGCGCTGAGGCTTTTACCCACAGCGCCACCCGCGTCCCATAAGGTCAGTGCAAACAAACCCTAAATAACGGGAGGGTGGGTGGGTAATCCGATGTGCACAGCGAAAAGAAGAAGCTCAATTCTGCGCACAGGGAACATATATAGCACCCCCATCAATCAAATAAAATTGCAACAATCAATTCCCCCCCCAGCAACATTGAAGGTGCCCAATCAAATCTGTGGCCATCCAAACTAACCTGCCCAGGGAATGTCATGGTTGCTCCCACCGCAATACGTGCTCTCCATGAAGGAGAACCCGCTTTGTAGTTCAACAACCTATCCCATTGCCTTGGGACCTTTTGTTTCACACCTGACATTCATTATGGGCTTAATGTTTTGCTGAAGCAATCTCAGGAAAGTTGGGCATTTCAAACTGAGCTGCTTTTAGTTGAACTTGATGCCAAGTCTATATGAAATCTGTGCTTGACATAAGGAGATCCTTGCCACCAAGCTGTTCCCCCTGCCCCTCCCAAGAGGCTATGCAGAGAACAGATGTATTCTAATTAAGAATATTTTATTGGGAAATGGATTTTCCCCAACCCCCTCCGATAAGTGAGAAGGGTGTGCGTGAGTGAGAAAGCATTCGCTGTGTGTAATCTAATATCTAAGAGGAAAATGCAGAGCAGCACAAATCAAAAGCAAACATAGGTGCTTGCCTTGTGCATAATTAGTCCGGAAAGAATATATGAAAAAATATATGAATATTTGAAAGGCTTAGAGGGAACGGAGCCCTCTAATGAGAAAACACTATGCTCCAAACAAAAGGAAGGATTTATTTCTGCACCCCCCCCCTTCAGATAAGCTTACCTAAATAAACAGCAGAAAGTGAAGAACAGAAAAGTACCTGGGTGCATTTATTTTGCTGTGTTCGCACATATTTCTTGAATGAGTCTGCAAGGTGCCTGAAGGCCATGAGTTGGGCAAACCTCAATCTTGCATGGTCTATTTCTTTCTTTTCCCCCTTGTTTGTTTGTGGAACGCTAATCCCTGCGGTCCAGTAATGAGTGTAGGAATTAGAAAGCAAGAACACACACTTGGGAAGGTATTAAAGCATAACTCAGCTGGGTTAACTGGTCCCAAGTAGGTACTCCTGCTTTTAGGAACACAATCCAGCCTGGCTGGATATAGATTGAAGTCTAGTTAGTCCTGTGTTCTTTGCATGGATGCTTGGAAACAGCAGGCATTAGGTGGTACCCTGGAAATCTAGTATCAATGGCCGCTAGCCGCAATGGCTGAGTTCAACCACCACTATCAGTGTGACTCTGAATAAGTTGCTATGAGTCATAGGTGAGCAGAGTGTTGTGTTCATGTCCGCTTGCAAGCTTCCCACAGGTGTCTGGTTGGCCGCCGTGACAGCAGAATGTTGGAGAAGATGCCCCATTGGCCTAAATTGACAGGCTCATGCTATGATTTAGTTTTTGGCCACGTGTGATCTAGTCCCCATGGGTAGCCAATGTGGTGCTTTCCGGATATTGCTGGACTGCAGCACCCATAGTCCCAGCTGGCAGGGCTGACGAGAGCTGGAGTCCAGGAATATCTGGAGGTTAAAGGTAAAGGACCCCTGGACAGTTAAGTCCAGTCAAAGGCGACTATGGGGTGTGGCGCTCATCTCGCTTTTCAGGCTGAGGGAGCCGGCATTTGTCCACAGATAGCTTTCCAGGTCATGTAGCCAGCATGACTAAACCGCTTCTGGCGCAACGGAACACCAGAGTGCATGGAAACGCAGTTCACCTTCCTGCCACAGTGGTACCTATTTATCTACTTGCACTAGTGTGCGTTCGAACTGCTAGGTTGGCAGGAGCTGGGACAGAGGAAAGGGAGCTCACCTGTCAGAGAAGTTCCTTCACTGACATCACCCCATTGTGGGGATTCAAACTGCCGACCTTCTGATCGGCAAGCCCAAGACGCTCAGTGGTTTAGACCACAGTGCCACCCGTATCCCATCTTGACAACCCCTTAGCCTAGTTAAACCATTTCCCCTAAGGGTGGCCATGGTGAACTGGGAACGAAGCACATTGAGCTAGTTCATATATTGACAGTACAGGACCGTATCTTTTTTTAAAACAAAATTTTATTGGTTTTGAAACAAATACAACAACCATTAAACAATTATCTAGCAGTACAACTAATGGTGTTTGTTTTACCCCTTGTCTCTAGACATACACTTAACACAGTCAACATTCAGACATAACGTAACCTCTCCATTGATAATATTGAGTGGTTGGTATAAGGAGGTCTTGATTTTGGTCATTAACATAAAAGAAAGGAGTCCACGTTTCTTGGAAGGTGTCTCTATTTATTATTATGTCTTTAATGGCCCTCTTGTGTCTGGTGAGATGCTCAGATATTGCTGTATCCCAGATATTATTTCCCCATATGTCCAGGGGTATTTCATTCTGGTTCTTCCATTTCTGGGCTATCGTTAATCGTGCCACAGTCAGTAAGAAGCCTACTATTCATCGTGGCAGAGCGTGGAGCCTAAGTCTATGTCCAAAGATCGTAGGGCTAAGGCAGGATTTGGAGAAAGTGGTTGGCCTGTAATTGGACCATATCTGAGGGGTCATATCTGTCAGGTCATACGGCCTCTGTTGGGGTTGCTTGTCTAGTCAAGCCAGCTTCCTACTAATGAGAAGAAGGGGGAAATGGGAAAGGAACTGAACCTTTCTGATTTTGAAAGATTATAGGGCACCCACACTGAGGGCACTGGAACCCCAAAATAAGAATAACAACTACAGGGCATTGATGCTAAATTCTCACAACTATTTTAAAGGGAAAGAGTAGCAGCACGCTGTTAACTTGGTAAAAGAGAGCTCCCTGGCAGGGTAAGGTTGCGAACTGATCTTGTTCTGGAAAAGTCTCTGATTTTGCAAACTCTCAGAAGTGTGGGAAGCACAGCCTGTCCAGTCGGAAGTGGGACAGAGAGACAGCCGCACAAACGAGCAGCCTGTATAATTCAATTTCCAATTACTGCTATCACGGCTGCTGCTGTTGTCTGACAGTGTGGATTGTGTGCTTCAAATGGGAGCCAAATGCACTATGCGCTGATCTATAAAACCTAAACTGATTGTGCCGTAAACGGATCATCTGGAAAGGCCCCCAGAAGTGCCTTAATGTTCTCGGGTTGCAATGTTTTCTACACTGTCTGATTTGTTTCAACGTTGTATTACAGATCCCTTCTACAATCAGGTCTATCCATCAGGATAAAATCCTAGCACTTAGACAGCAGACACAGTTCTTGTGGGAGGCTTATTTTTCTTCGGTTGAGAAGATTGTATTGACCACGCTAGAGGTGAGTAACTGTTCTCAGATATTAGTTGAGGCGTTGGCGGTCTCAGTGCCCAGGCTTTGTCTGACCTTGGCTCTTGAGGGGGGAGACAGTGGGTCGCTCGGGAGGGGTTTGTGTGCACATGTGAGGAATGGGGCAGAGGAAAGACCTTCACCGTCTCTATAACTTTTCTCCCCTGAGGAAATAACGTTTCTTTGTTACTGGGCCTGGTGTAAGAAAAAATGACACCATGACAAATGAGAAGCCTTTCCACTTCCAGGGAAAAGTTGCCTCGTGCAGACTAGTGGCTTCTTGGGGGCTTTGCGGTGGGTAAATCAGTATTCTTGTCATGCCTGCTGAATGAGGTCTTTTAGGGAACCTTTCTGGATAAATCGCTTTTCTGAAAAAGTAGAATTGCAAAGCCCTCTCTTCTAATGGCAGGCTTTTGTGCCCCCAAGACATTTTGATGGCCTTTTGACTGGTCTGCCTGGGGTGTTGTGGGGTGAGGCGCTTAGTAGGACATAGAGTAGATTCAAGAGGAAGATGACAGAAAACTAACAAGGAACTCTGATGGGAAACGAAACGAGCCTGCCACATTTTCAAAAGGATTTTTGTAGAGCTGTGGGTGCATGTTACAAACCCTCACACGCACACATCTCTCTCTCTCTCTCTCTCTGGGACTAAGATGTGATGTTAAAAGTGATTTAGTATTATCAACACTAGCAATTTCAATTTCTGTTACTCCACAGCTGATGGAGAATGTTATTATCCTAGTTTGCCGCAAACCATGGTTTGCTGTTTTGTCCAAACCCTGCTAACCATGGCTTGCAGAAGCCCCCATCAAACTACGGTTTGGGGCCCTGTTCTTCTAAGCAATTTGGATTTGGCTCAGACATAATGACAAAGTCTAGGTTGCTGCAAACCAGAAATGGTTTGCACATGCAAGGCAAGGAAGGAGTGCGTGTAAGCCCAAGGCCACTCGCTCATAACATCAAACCATGGTTAATGCTGATCAGATTCCCTCATAAACTACGATTTGCAACCACACTTCAAACCATGTTTTTGAGTGCTGGTCTATGAGGGAACCATGGCTGGCACATCTTAACTTTTGATGGTGGTTAGCACTGTCCTGAGGAAAAAAAGAGAGGAGTGCAGACTTTCTCTCAGTTTCTAAACCATGGTTTGCAAGTGGCCGTCCTTATATCTGCATTTGGCCCTTCTCTAGTGCGCGCACACACACAAACACCCTCTACCCTTAAGTCTCATTCGGTTATGCTGACTCAGTTGCAGCCAACATGGTTCTCTCCAGATGTTGATGGACTCCAACTCCCATCAGCCTCTGCCAGCATGGCCAGTGAGTAGGGATGGTGGGTGTTGTAGTCCAGTAACCTCTGATGGGCACCTCATTGGCTACCCGTGAACTAGATGAAATGTGAAGCTTATCTAATGCAACACACTTTCCTTTGGTGAGAAGTTCCCATGTTCAGCCCATATTAGATTCCGCCCCCCATGAGAGTTGACTTGAATTAGCAGAAGTGTGTTTATGCCCAATAAAGTGGAATTGTGGCAAGCCTACACACTAATGTTAGAAACAGAAAAAGCATCTTTTTAGATTTAATTTTCAGCAGGGATTTCTTTAATGCCATTATCTTTTACGAGGCAAAATCCAAAGATGGTATTTAGCAACATGTGTGCACCAATTTTCCCTGTGCTTTTTATTGTTAATGGAGGAGCTGTAAATTTGTTCCCTTTTTTGTCCTTTCCTGTATCCTTTCTTACAGATTCCCCCCGCCCCTGCCCCCCCCGGTCTGTTTCAGCTCTGCAGACGGTTAAGTGTTGTTTTCATGGCCAGAAATAGCCATCTGTTAAATTGGGTAAAGCCCTTTTAGGTCAGGACCTTGGCCCGCAAAATAACGGGATCTGTAAGCAGCAAAAGCACATCTGAACAAAGGCACTGGATGCCTGCTTCAAAAACTGAACCTGGCTGAGTTGCTGGGAGGAAAAGCATTGTCCTGAATCTCAACAGTGAAAGAGTATTGTGTCTGATCAGTGTAGTTTAACTAGAGAAGTGCCCTTTCTGCATTGTCACAGGAAAGCCAAACTTGGCGTTCCTGCTGCAGTTTTATTGGTTGCAAGAATGACAGAGACCGGGAAATGGAAGGGACCCTGAGGGTCATCTAGTCCAACCCCCTTACAACGCAGGAATATGCAGCTGTCCCATATGGGAATTGAACCAGCAACCTTGGCATTATTAGCACCACGCTCAACTGAGCTATCCAGGCATATTTATCTTATTTATTTCTTCCATTTGCATGCCAACCTTCATCCATAGATCTCAGTTCACAACATAAAAAACCCCCACAAAATAAGAACAGCAGCAAACCAAGAATCCCCCGTCCCACAACACGTTTAAATAGGCATGAGATGTCAGTCAGCCAAAGGCCTGCTTTAAGAGGAACGTTTTCAGGCCTGGCGCCTAAAAGTGCACAGTGAAGGTGCCAGGCGAGCCTCCCTAGGGAGAGCATTCTACAAATGAGGAGCCACCACAGAAAAGGCCCCTTCTTGTGCTGCCGCTCTCTGGACCTCGCATGAAGGAGGCACACAAAGAAGGGATGAACACAGAGTCTGGGATGGTTTATATGGAGAGAAACGGTCCTTGAGGTATTGCAGTCCTAGGCCGTTTAAAGGTCACATCCAGCACTTCGAATTGAGGCTGGAAACTAATTGGCAGCCAGTGCAGTTGGGCCACTTAGCAACTCAGACCGCTGGGCCCACCTCACTCAGTATTTCCTACACTAGGAGTGGGGCATACAGAGGTTGTTGGACTTCAGTTCCCATCAGCCCCAGGCCAGCATGGCTAACGGTCAAGGATGATGGGTTCTGGAGTCCAACAACATTTGGACTTGGTCACAGGTTCTCTACACTGACTAGCAGTTTTCCAGAGTTTCAGATTGTCCCAGTTTTTGTCCCCTGGAGAAGCCACAGACCAAGCCTAGATCTTTCTCCTACATTTGAAGTGTGTGCTCTGTCACTGAGCTGTGAGCACTGGTCCCCTCCTTGTGGAATTTCCTTCAGACCTTATTTTCATTAGACCTTTTGGAATATTCTTATTTGTTTATTGCAGCTTCGCTTAACATTGGCCATGCTGGCTGGAATTGATGGAGGTTGTGAGGGCGATACCCAGCGTTGGGCCTTGCTTTTATAAGACGGGAGCTGATCTCCTCAGCATCCTGCTTTTTTGCACCCATACAAAATCAGCTGCTTTCTTCCATTCTTGCACAGAATTGGAGCACCTTTGTTTTTTCCTTGGGCCGAAGCCACGGGGCTATCATTACATTCTGCTCCATGCAATTTGTGTTTCCGGCACCATATTTTTGTGTTTGTTTGTGTGGGGCGGGGGAGAAGGGGAAGGAGGCGAAGGTAACAGTCATCGTTATTCCAGGAAGGTACCACCCTGTCTAAATCTACCGCCAGACTAATTATCTTATGCAGGACATGGATGGCAAAATTGTAGCATGGATTCATCAGCCTCGCAAGCTGACATGCCATTTTAAAGAGCGAAAATATTTTGACTCCGGCTTGCAGCATCTAATAAGTTCGCTCTGTTGCCACGGTTTCTGCGGCGCCTAATGAGGTAGTTTGAATACCATTATGCGAGGCTTCTAACCCGCAGGAATGCGTACGGGTCCAGCATCATCGGGGCTGCTTGGGAGAAAAGAGAAATAGATTAAACAGGAATGCTAAACAACCGGCCTCTTGCTGGCTCTCTGCAGAAAAGTGTGCTGATTGCTACCTTCGGCAAGCGACGCCACCTCTCCCGTTTCTCATTCGGACCTTCTTAAGAGTCGCTCCTTTTTCCCTTTCTTTTTTCCCTTTTAACAGATTATTCAAGACAGAATATTTAAGCACATATCACGTAACAGCTTAATATGGAACAAGCACCCCGGAGGGTTATTTGTACTGCCACAGTATTCATCATATCTGGGAGATTTTCCTTACTATTTTGCTAATCTAGGTAAGTGATTCTTGGTGGATGAACTTCCCTATACGGAGGCTGGATCTCATGGCGTGTCACAAAGCGGGTACGGGCTTTTCAAAAAACCTAGGTGCAGGGCTGTCTTAAGCATATGTGGCGCTGGGGTGCAAAGACCTGCCCGGCGCGCGTGGCCCCCCCCAGGTTGCCCAGTGCTAGGAGCGCAGGAGGGTGGAGCCAGCCAGCCGCCTGCCTCAGCATCTCACTGGCTCGGTCACCCCAGAACGTGCGACGCAGAGCTGCCCGCAGCAGAAGAGCCCGTTGCGGCACTCTGACCGACAGGCAGGCTCTTCCCCGGACTCTTGGCCTGGCGTCCTGAGAGTCCAGCGCCCGGGTGCCCCGCACCCCTAGCGCCTATAGATAAGACGGCCCTGCCTGGGTGCGCAAATCAGGAACCAGCCTTGTGGCACTCCCTCCCCACCTCTTTCTAGAGTGAGTCCCCCAGTTCTTTCCCTTCTCAGCATTAACCCCTGTTAGCTTGCCCTCAAACTGGGCCGCTCAAGTGTTGCCGTCAAACACTTGAAGAAACTAACCGGGGTGTCTGAACTTTCAGTTGGAAGGAACACCTCAGAAGCACAATTTTAGCCAACTCTTCGCCCTGGCAGTCATCATCCCACTTCCCCAAGCACCCCCCCCCCAAAAAAAAATACCCCAGTTACCTTGCAAAAGAGGGGGGGTAGTAAATGGCATGGGGTCTTCATTCCAAAGAGAAGACTGGTTCTGTGGCAGAGCAGGCAGTGAGTCCCACTAGCTTCAAGGTCACTTCAAGCACATTTTAAGCTCTCGTCTCCTGAATTCTCCCAGCTCCCTGTGAAGCGATGCAAACCGTATTTCTCTTGTGAACTAGAAAGATTGGAAGGGAAGTTTTGAGGCGCTTCTATGAGCCGTTGTGATGAGAGGATGTATTGCAAAGACATGTTTAGTACCAGTGGAGGGAAATCAATCCAGAGGAAGGAAGGGAGGGAAGGAAGGAAGGAAGGAAGGAAGGAAGGAAGGAAGGAAGGAAGGATATTTTCCTATGTGTCTGACTTCTAATTTACCAGCCATGTTCCCAGCAAAGAGCCATGGTTGTTTCTGTATGAGGCCATTGCGTTGCCAGTTCTCATGCGCAAATTCTGTGGAGTCGCCAATCGGCCAACAAGTGTGGCATCTTACACGCTACAGAAGGAGTGCTGTGCAGATGTGATTATGGTGATTAGGATGGTTAAAATGTGCTCACATCTCCCTCTGCTTGCATCAGCTGACACCTGTCCACCTATATAACGGACCCCTGATATTTCCACCTCTTGATCTTACTTCATTTCACCACAGGGTTATTGTTCCCTATATCATCAGTGCCCCCCACACACTATTGGTTGTGGTTGGAGCAGAATTTGGATCTCAAGGAAAGCAGTGGGAGAGAATAGCTGCGCCGGCTCTTAGTGTGGTGGGGAGGTTGAGCCACGCATCATAGCTGCCCAGGTATAGGTCATGCAAGATGGGTGCTAGAAATCCTTCGTGTTGAGGACCTGCTCCCCACATACCTGTAGAGCAGTGTTTCCCAACCTTTTTTGGGCAAAGGCACACTTGTTTCATGAAAAAAATCTCGAGGCACACCACCATTAGAAAATGTTAAAAAATTTAACTCTGTGCCTATATTGACTACCATATTTTTCGCCCCATAGGACGCACCGCCCCATAAGACGCACCTAATTTTTTGGGGGGAGAATAAAGAAAAAAAAATTTTCCCCTCCCCAGGCATGGGGCAGGCGCGGGGGAAACCCAAGCTTCCCCCGACCCCAGCCCCCAGAACAGCCTGATATCCGCAAGCCTAGGGAGCCACACTGGTCTCCCCAGGCTTGCGGAGAGGTGCGTGAAGCCCGGGGGCGCTCTTCAGCGCGCACCAGGCTTCGGGATGCAGGCAGCTCTGCACTACCCTCCAGAGCCCCGTGCGGCTTCGCGCTGGGATCCGGGGGGTGGCGCGGAGCTGCAAGAAGCCCTGGAGCGCAGGCAGCTTCGCACCACCCTCCGCAGCCCCGCGCGGCTTCGTGCCGGGATGGGGGGGGTGGCGCGGAGCTGCAAGAAGCCCTGGAGCGCAGGCAGCTCCGTGCCACCCTCCGCAGCCCCGCGCGGCTTCGCACCAGGATCCGGGGGTGGCGCGGAGCTGCAAGAAGCCCTGGAGCGCGGGCAGCTCCGCGCCACCCTCCGCAGCCTCCTACGGAGGGCGCCCCGTGCTCCGCGCTGCTGGCTGCCGCCCGCAAGCGGGGGGGAGTTCCCCTGGGCGCGCAAGGCTTGCGGACAGCTGCGCGAAGAACGGGGCGTCCTCCGAAGGACGCCCCGCGCTCCACGCTGCAGGCTGCCGCCGCAAGCCTTGCGCGCCGGGGGGGGGAGTTCCCCCAGGCGCCCAAGGCTTGCGGACAGCTGCGCGAAGCACGGGGCGTCCTCCAAAGGGCGCCCCGCGCTCCGCGCTGCAGGCTGCCGCCCGCAAGCCTTGCGCGCCGGGGGGGGGAGTTCCCCCAGGCGCCCAAGGCTTGCGGACAGCTGCGCGAAGCACGGGGCGTCCTCCAAAGGGCGCCCCGCGCTCCGCACTGCAGGCTGCCGCCCGCAAGCCTTGCGCGCCGGGGGGGGAGTTCCCCCAGGCGCCCAAGGCTTGCGGACAGCTGCGCGAAGCACGGGGCGTCCTCCAAAGGGCGCCCCGCGCTCTGCGCTGCAGGCTGCCGCCCGCAAGCCTTGCGCGCCGGGGGGGAGTTCCCCCAGGCGCCCAAGGCTTGCGGACAGCTGCGCGAAGCACGGGGCGTCTTCCAAAGGGCGCCCCGCGCTCCGCGCTGCAGGCTGCCGCCCGCAAGCCTTGCGCGCCGGGGGGGGAGTTCCCCCAGGCGCCCAAGGCTTGCGGACAGCTGCGCGAAGCACGGGGCGTCCTCCAAAGGGCGCCCCGCGCTCCGCGCTGCAGGCTGCCGCCCGCAAGCCTTGCGCGCCGGGGGGGGAGTTCCCCCAGGCGCCCAAGGCTTGCGGACAGCTGCGCGAAGCACGGGGCGTCCTCCAAAGGGCGCCCCGCGCTCCGCGCTGCAGGCTGCCGCCCGCAAGCCTTGCGCGCCGGGGGGGGAGTTCCCCCAGGCGCCCAAGGCTGCGCGAAGCACGGGGCGTCCTCCAAAGGGCGCCCCGCGCTCCGCGCTGCAGGCTGCCGCCCGCAAGCCTTGCGCGCCGGGGGGGAGTTCCCCCAGGCGCCCAAGGCTTGCGGACAGCTGCGCGAAGCACGGGGCGTCCTCCAAAGGGCGCCCCGCGCTCCGCGCTGCAGGCTGCCGCCCGCAAGCCTTGCGCGCCGGGGGGGGAGTTCCCCCAGGCGCCCAAGGCTGCGCGAAGCACGGGGCGTCCTCCAAAGGGCGCCCCGCGCTCCGCGCTGCAGGCTGCCGCCCGCAAGCCTTGCGCGCCGGGGGGGAGTTCCCCCAGGCGCCCAAGGCTTGCGGACAGCTGCGCGAAGCACGGGGCGTCCTCCAAAGGGCGCCCCGCGCTCCGCGCTGCAGGCTGCCGCCCGCAAGCCTTGCGCGCCGGGGGGGGAGTTCCCCCAGGCGCCCAAGGCTGCGCGAAGCACGGGGCGTCCTCCAAAGGGCGCCCCGCGCTCCGCGCTGCAGGCTGCCGCCCGCAAGCCTTGCGCGCCGGGGGGGAGTTCCCCCAGGCGCCCAAGGCTTGCGGACAGCTGCGCGAAGCACGGGGCGTCCTCCAAAGGGCGCCCCGCGCTCCGCGCTGCAGGTTCCCGCCCCCCGCCCCGCTTCGGAGCACCGGGAGAAGCGATCTCCCCGCAGCCCCTTGCTTCAAAAGAGGTCCGGGGGCAGCACACCAGTCTTCCTCACAGCCCTGGTACCCTCCAGCTATTTTGGGCTACAGCGTCTTTCAGGGTCTGCCAATGCAGCCATGTTGGGGAAGCTGGAAGACGCCAAGTTGGAGAAGGGTGGCCGACATGGTCTGATCCTCTGGGTGGCCTTAGGCCAGTCACTGGGCTGGCCGACCTTACAGGGTTGTTGTGCGGAATTAAACAAGGAGCCATGCCTTCCACTTTGAGCTCCTTGGATTAAAAAAAATGGGATAGAATTGCAATAGATAAAATCCATAAAAGCCCGGGGCAGGGAGTGAAACAAATAGCTCTTGATCCCTCCAGCCTGCACACAGGTGGGGAAGTCAACAGATTTCATTTTGTTTCAGATGACAGCAATTCTTTACTGCTCAGATTGTCACCCTTTACATAACAATATTGATTTGTCGCCCTTTGCTTAACAACATGTATTTATATATATTTTTACCGCTGGCTTCCTTTCCAGGCGTCAAGCCCCCATCCAAATTCACCGCCGTTATCCATGCAGTTACTCCTTTAGTTTCTCAGTCTCAACCTGTGCTGAAACTCCTGGTTGCTGTAGCCAAATCCCAGTACTGTTCCCAGGTAAGGAATTAGACTTGGCCTCTAGGCGGTCCACCATGGAGCCCTGTCTCTGAGATGACTTCAGAATAAAGGGTCCTCTTGATTGATAGATGTCAATGTGCTTTTCTAATGCAGGGCTTTGGCAAATTCAACAGAGTTTAAAGAGATGTAAATAGCTTTTGTTTCGGGTGAAGGTAACACACTCTCCTGCGCCGAGTCAGACAGTTGGTCCATCTCGCTCTGCCTGCCAGAGCCTGGAGGCCTCCAGAAGTTGCTGCACTGCCATTAGAGCATGAGACTCTTAATCTCAGGGTTGTGGGTTTGAGCCCCGCGTTGGGCAAAAGATTCCTGCATTGCAGGGGGTCAGACTAGATGATTCCCGGGTCCCCTTCCCAGTCAACAGTTCTGTGATTCTAATTACCAGCTCCAGCCAGGAATGCCAGCAGTCAGAGGCGATGCCAACGTCTGAGGCTGATCTAGTCAATAACTCTGCTCTGACTAGCCATGACTTTCTCGGGACTCAGACAAGTGTCTTTCTGGTAGCTGAGATCCTATGGAGTTGCCAGGGATTGCTTTGATCCTGAGCTACTGTCTTTCCACCCTTACTGAAATATCGGCCAGGAAGTTTTGATTCAGTGCGAACTGTGTCAAAATGGGAAAATATGGTTGTGCAGGAGGCCTCGTTGGAGAGTTGTGGCCAACAGTACATGTTCCACAAGACCTTTATCCTCCCAAAGGTATGCTAGTTGGTTTTCCATCCTTGCCTAAGGTCCAGTCCCAGAGGATAAACCGTATTTTTCGCTCTATTGGACGCACCGGACCACAGGACGCACCTAGTTTTTAGAGGGGGAAACCAAGGAAAAAATATTATTCCCCCCTCCCCCCACAGCCCCAAAGAGCAACGGACAGGCTGCACGCAGCCTGTCAGCTTCTCCCAGAGCTTCTTGGGGCTGCGGGGGAAGCCCGGGTTCCCCCCCCCCCCAGCCCCAAAGAGCAAAGAAGCCAAGACAGCGCGCGGGATCCATAGCCGCGCAACCTCTCCAGCCAGGAGCTAAACCTCTCCAGCGTGGCTAAAGAAGAAGATAAGGCAGCAAGCGCGATCCATCCGGCTCACTGCCTTGGCTTCCTCTTTAGCCTTGCGCAGCATCTTTAGCTTTGCGCAATGAGATGGATCGCGCCCGCTGTCCACCGGGGCCGGGCTAGATGACTCCTGGGGTTCCCTTCCAACCCTGCAATTCTATGACCTCGGAAGGTGTTGGGGGTCTCCACCACTGGAGGCTTTTAAGCAACGGTTGGGGGAACCATCTGCCTGGCGTTCTTTAGCTGTGATACCTACATTGTGAGGGGGTTGGGCTAGATGACCCTCGGGTGGCCCTCCCAACTCTATACAGTCCTACAGTTCTGCGACAGGAGATCCACAGCCTCTTCACACAATGCCCACTCCCAATTTTCATCGGAGAGACATGTGGCTTCAGTGTCTAGGTAGGTACCCTGCTACCTGCCACACTTCCCCCGCCCCACTTAAGCTGAGGGAATTCCTGCCCAGAGAAGCTCCCAGGTGAGGCAAGGGTTAAGATCTGCCTCTGGTGGGTCATGCTCGCTGCCCTGGCTTCCTCTTTAGCCTTGCGCAGCCTCACACGGCTGGAGAGGTTGCGCAAGGCTTTTCTAGAGGAGGGAGAAGGGACTGACTGGCGGTGTCAGTCCCTTCTCCCTCCTGGGGAAAAGCCTGCAAGAGCCGCGGGAAGCTTGTGTGGGGCTCTTGGGGGCTTTTCCTGCCTGCCTCCCCCCTGCATTCGCTCCATAGGACGCACAGACTTTCCCCCTCAGTTTTTATGACGGAAAATGTGCGTCCTATGGTGCGAAAAGTACGGTATTTTAGTTTAATTTACTGCCTCCTGAGACATTTATTGTCAGGCTAGCAGCCTTCCGTGCTTTAAAACTGAGATTGGGAACCTGTGGCCCTTTCAGGTGCTGAAGAACTAGAACTCCCAATATCATGGACCTGGGCTGATGGGGTCTAAAGATCATGGACCTGGGCTGATGGGGTCTAAAGCCCAATTTCCGGAGGGTCACCGGCCAGCCAGCCCAGCTTTAAAATAACAAAATGCAGAATTCTGCACCCAGGCAATTTAAAATCCTGTGTCAAGGGAAGCTGGATTCTGCAACCTATTCAAACTATGCAATTTAAGGCACTATTTTCTCTTGAATAACTCTGCAGCTGTTACCATTCTGAAGGCGCTCTTTTTGCTATGAAATGCGTGGACAGACACCCATTACAAATCTTGCTCAGCCACCTTCCTGTTTACTGAGATTTCGCCAAGACGTCCCCACTTACTTCCAAGCTTATATTTCCAGTCATAAGGGTTAGAAACCTACCTTTAAGTATACCCGAAAGCGGAGATTCTTAGAAAGCTGAATTCAGCTTCCACACATGCTTTCCTACTTCTGGAATCACAGCACACAGGCAACTCTGAAAGCTGAGCCGGGAGCTGGACCCGACCCCTGTCCCGTGCTCACACAGCACGACAGAAGCGGCACAAAACTGCGTATCATACCAGCAGTGTTAAGGCGAAAAGAGCCTGCTCTTTATATAATGGAACATTTTGGCCTTTGGCCTCTGCCAAAGTGAGCTGTAAGGATCCTTCCAGATGCGGCACAAATTGTTGTTCTGATGGCATCTGTCAAAGGGGTTGAGTTTCTCCTCCCCCCCCCCCATTGTCAGGACAGAAAAATGAGTCGTGTACTTTTCTCTCTGGAAAGGAATTGGATTGCACAATTTAATTTAATCTTTTTGGGGAAGCTCAGAATTGAACCGTGTAACTAAGGAGGACGCCTGAGCTTTGTCTTTGGGCTACCCAGGCATTCCGCTCAACGAAGGATGAATTTTCCATTTCAGATCATTGTCTTATGGAATTGCGATAAACCCCTCCCTGCCAAGCACCGATGGCCTGCCACTGCTGTTCCTGTTATTGTCATTGAAGGAGAGAGCAAGGTAAGTTTGGCCATGCCAAGGTCTCAGTCTGAGGGACTAAATAACATTCATTCATTCATTATTCACTCATTCATTAAAAAAATATATATCGCTATATAGTGGTACCTCGGGTTAAGAACTTAATTCGTTCTGCAGGTCTGTTCTTAACCTGAAACTGTTCTTAACCTAAAGCACCACTTTAGCTAATGGGGCCTCCCGCTGCCGCCACACAATTTCTGTTCTCATCCTGAAGCAAAGTTCTTAACCCGAGGTACTATTTCTGGGTTAGCGGAGTCTGTAAACCAAGGTACCGCTGTATCCTAAAAATACGTCAGATTACAATAATATTGTCAGGAACTGGACTGAGGAGGAATGGTGGAGACTGCCCCCCGCTGCACTTCCCAGAGAAAAGGGAGACAGATTTAGAACAGTGGTTTGCAGAAGGTTCAGAGGCTGCAGAGGGGAGAAACTGGGAAATTTTGGGAGAGGAGCAGGAAGAAGAAGCAGCACCAGGGTTGAGACAGTTGACAGACTCAGTGTCCTTGGAAAGCATGCCAGACCCCCCCCCCCCCGCTCCAGGTCCCAGCGAGCATTGAGAGTAGGAGAACAAGAAAGCTCAGAGGCAGAAAGCACATATTAGCCAGCGCAGGGATGACGTTTGATAGGAGAGACAGAGGGGGTGGGACTTTACTCAGAGCAATGCCATTATCCAAGAGAGACATCATTTCTACAGCTCTCTCTCTGAATATTGAATAAAAGACTTGGTAAGAACTCTTCTTGTTTATCTACTTCTTGGCTGGGAAGTTACAGGGAACCAGGCAGAGGGCCTTCTCGGTAGTGGCACCCGCCCTGTGGAATGCCCTCCCACCAGATGTCAAAGAGAAGAACAACTACCAGACTTTTAGAAGACATCTGAAGGCAGCCCTGTTTAGGGAAGCTTTTAATGTTTGATGCATTACTGTATTTTAATATTTTGTTGGAAGCCGCCCAGAGTGGCTGGGGAAACCCAGCCAGATGGGTGGGGTATAAATAAATTATTATTATTATTATTATTATTATTATTATTATTATTATTATTATTATTATTGGCTGCCCACCATGGGAGGTATCGGATTCCCTGAAGCCTATAAACACATGAAACCAAACAATAAAAACCAAAAAGTTTTAAAACAAGTTAAAAGCAAAAAAGAAATTAAAAGCAGTGGACTCTTAATTGCTTGCATGGGCCTCATGGAACAGAAAAGTTTCAGCGAGCTTTGGCACAAAAGCTGAATTTCTAGTGGTAGGATGTTCCACAGGATGGCGGTGGTGGTTTTCCCACTTTTTAACATAGGAAGCTGCCTCATACCCAGTCCATCTAGCTCAGTAATGTTCACACTGACCAGCAGTGCCCCTCCAGTGTTTCAGACAGGGGACATTTGTAGTCCTACCTGCAGTCCACTCCAGATTGAACCTGGGACTATGAGGACGAGGTGCTGGACGCAGTGGCCTTTGACCTGAGCTAGCAGGGCTCTGCTTACATTCTTGCAACTCTAGGGCTTGCCGATATTAAAGATGCCAACCCTTGGAAGCAGCCCTTCTGCAGGTAAAAGAGTCCAGGTTCCTGGGGTTCTCTTCCCAAACAACCACCAGATAAGTTGGTGTGGTTATGTCTGGCTGAAAGTAGCAGCTTGGTTTTGTGCTGCTCTCCTCTGCAACAGAGAAAGGGCTGTGTGGCGTATTTCCAAACTCGCCACATATTTTTTTTGCACAGTGCATTGGACCTCGGAGTCTTCTTTTCCATCCACACACAGAAACATGTCCCCTGCCCCCCCATGAACAGCCAGTGATATAAATGCTAAACTGGAGGAAGGGAAAGAGTCTAATCTTTGTTTGACTGACATGGAATACAGCTTGGAAGGCTTGGGGTTTGGGTTTGGTTTTTATCAGCCAGCTGTCTAGAGCAGAACGAATTTTCACTCTGAAGTTTTCCAGGTGCTTTACGGCTGTTTGAAATGTACAGGCCTTGGCTTTACTGGTGTCTCGGACCCCCCCTCCCCCCAGTAGATTTGACAAGGGAAAAGTCAGTGCATGGCTAAGCTGCCAGCTAACTAGGTTCCTGTCTCTAAACAGTGGCCATGTGAGCAGTACCAGGAGATTTGCTGCAGGGCTGAGATAGGAGGCTGTTGCTTGGAGATTGCCCACCTTTTCTGCCATTATTGTTTCTCCTTTTCCTATATCAGAGAGCCCAAGGGAACAAAATGCCCCCTCAAATTCCAAAGCATGTGTAGGAACTTGCCTTGGAGGCATCTTAGAGACAACAAAGAAATCTCAACGTGCGGTCAACAGTGTGCCGTTCGCACGCTGGCAGGTTGCTCTGCGCTCCAGAATGAATTCCCAAGCGGGGGGGAGAAAAGAAAATGTCTGTGGACTTCAGAATGTACGATCTGAGCCAGGGGCAGGCAACATCTGGCTCCCCCTCCCCACCTGAAGATGGTCAGGACTACAACTCCCATCATCCCTGACTGTTGGCCTTGCTGGCTGTGGCTGATGGGAGTTGGAATCCAACATTTGGCAGGTGCAAGTTCACCTGCCCTTGCTCTAAACCAGCAGTTCTCAACCTGTGGGTCCCCAGATGTTGTTGGACTACAACTCCCATAATCCCTGAGCTCTGGCCTTGCTAGCTAGGGGTGATGGGAGTTGTAGTTCAACAACATCTGGGGACCCACAGGTTGAGAACTGCTGCTCTAAACCAACAAGGTTTCTCAAACATGGGTCTCCAGCTGCTTTGGGACTACAACTCCCATCATCCGTAGCTAGCAGGACTGGATGATGGGAATTGTAGTCCGAAAACAGCTGGAGACCCACGTTTGGGAAACCCTAGTAAAGGTAAAGGGACCCCTGACCATTAGGTCCAGTCGTGGCTGACTCTGGGGTTGCAGCGCTCATCTTGCTTTATTGGCCAAGGGAGCCGGCATACAGCTTCCGGGTCATGTGGCCAGCATGACTAAGCCGCTTCTGGTGAACCAGAGCAGCGCACGGAAACGCCGTTCCCGCCAGAGCGGGTACCTATTTATCTACTTGCACTTTGACGTGCTTTCGAACTGCTAGGTTGGCAGGAGCAGGGACCGAGCAATGGGAGCTCACCCCGTCGCGGGGATTCGAACCGCCGACCTTCTGATTGGCAAGTCCTAGGCTCTGTGGTTTAACCCACAGCGCCACCTGCGTCCTTTGGGAAACCCTGCTCTAAACCAAATTTAGAGCAAGCTTTTTAAGACGTGGGACTGACCCACCTTTAGTCCAAATGTACATTCTGGGGGCGGCTGCTCAATTTGCCGGCATATATGCGTATGGGTGGTAGGTCAGCCTGTGACCTGCCTTAGGTTTGGTTGAAACCCCCACTTGAGTGACTTTCAGCCAGTCGCTGCCCTCCTAGCCAACCTTGCATGGGTAGTTGTGAAAATACAAGTGGGAAGGGCAACCATAGCCACTGCCTTCAGCTCTTTGTAGCAAAGGCGGCAAATATATAAGCAATGCATCCCTGCTTCTCTCTGTTTCTTCTTTTCATATACTGTAGCTGCATAATGGATATAAAAATCAAAATAAAGCAACTACCTCCTGGCACGGGAATCTGCAGGGATTTTTTACAGGGCCTGTACAATTCACCCCGTACCTCAAATTCATTGCTAGGAACTTGTGTGTCTTATTTTGAACGAAAGCTGGGAATCAGGGGCTTGTGGTTCATGGGAGAGGGAAACTGCACCGCTTGCTCCCCCCCCCCCCACTGCAGACACTTAACACACCTGAGCATTGCACATGACAAAAATCAGGTGGAAGGGAGCAGCCGTGAATCCCCCGCGGTGCTGCTGTTTCAAAACAAATTGGTGGATAACGTAGCAGCGGAAACAAGCAGCCCGCACGGGAGGAATGCGTAGCGAGCCACCACGAAATTCAATTCTTCTTATCTGACCAGTCATCCTCAAATCTTCCCCGGACCTTTCTGTTCAATGGGGTCATTTCCTCCATTAATGTGACGGCGGAGAGTTAACTCTTCCAATTTGGGTCTGAAAGGGGTGCTGCCCTTGGCAGGGCGAGTCTCACGAGCTGAGTGCTGACCCTCTTTATCCCCCTCCGCAGGTGATGAGCAGCCGCTTCCTGCCCTACGAGAACATTGTCACGGATGCTGTTTCTAAGCCTCGATGAGGATACGGTGCTTGTCAACCACTGAGGTGAGACCCTTCCATCGAGTCTGCTGCTGGCTGCTTTCGCCCTCTGCTTCTTCGCAGTTTTGTGCTGGCTGCGTAGGCGAGGATTGCATGATCGGCCGTCTCTGACGTTAGAAATATAGGAAGCTGGCTTTGCCACTGAGCCAGACCAATGGTGGTCCACCTATTCAATGCTGTCTACACTGTCCGGAAGCAGCTGTCCAGGATTCAAGCAAAGCTTTTCCCATGCCTACCTGGAGCTGCCAGAGTTTGCACCTGGGACCTACTTTCCTTTTAAAAAATATTTTTTATTAAAGGGTTTCTTGTGCTACGAGACAGACAAATAAGCAGAGAAAAGTACAATTTGGGGGGAAAGAAAGGGGAGAGAGAGTGTGATGGGGATGTTGTTCTTTCATTCTATGGCCTAGTGGTAGTACAGTGGTACCTCTGGTTGCGAACAGGATCCGTTCCAGAGGCCCATTCGCAACATGAAAAAGCCTGCAACCTGAAGCGCCGTATCTGCGCAGGTGCGTGGTGCGATTTGGCGCTTCTGCGGATGCGTGAAGCACGATTTAGGTGTGAGCCGCGAAACCCGGAAGTAACCCTTTCCGGTACTTCCGGGTTGCTGCGGGACGCAACCTGAAAAAAACGTAACATGAAGCAAACATAACATGAGGTATGACTGTATAGGGATTGTGTCCGTATCACAAGGATAGGTCCTTTACACACACACACACACAGAGAGAGAGAGAGAGAGAGAGAGAGAGAGAGAGAGAGAGAGATTAGGGCATGGGTCGGCAAACCAGGGCCTGGGGGCCAGAACAGGCCCAATAGCCTTCTGGATCCAGCCCGCAGATGGTCCGGAAATCACCACATGGATCGCCAGCATGCACGTTTTCCCCCCTCTTCCTCACACGGCGGTGGCGGCAGCAGTGCCTCCTCCTCCCCTCCTCCTGGCTTCTCCCTGCCCTGTCTAGAGGAGGAAGGGGCTGGGGCTTTGTTGGTGCCAGCAGCAGCAGCAGCGCTCAAGCAGCTGCCATTTTAAGCAGCCCCTCTCTGGAGCCTTTTGCGCGCTGCTCATCGTCCCTCTGCCGCCAGCCCCTGCCACTCACAAGACACAGGTAAGCAACCACCGGGGCTCGTGGTGCTCTTGAATCATTCTTTCCCCCAAAAAAATATAGTCCGGACCCCCACAAGGTCTGAGGGACAGTTGACCGGCCCCCTGCTGAAAAAGTTTGCTGACCCTGGATTAGGGGGTCCAGAACTTGGTTGGCTGTATTCTGCCAGTTGCAGTAGGGACCTTCTTTCCTGAAGGACAGATGCTCTGCCATTGAGCTTTGGTCTTGGACTATGCCTTCGCTATAGCATTACAGTCGTACCTCGGAAGTCGAACAGAATCCGTTCAACTTCCAAAACGTTCGGGAACCAAGGTGCAGCTTCCGATTGGCTGCAGGAAGCTCCTGCAGCCAATCGGAAGCCGTGACGGGACGTTTGGGTTCCAAAGAACGTTCGCAAACCAGAACACTCACTTCTGGGTTGTGGCGTTCGGTGAGCCAAAACGTTCATCCCGCAAGGCGTATCGACTTCAGAGGTACGACTGTGTCTATTGATCCACCTCCGTTCAGTCCCAGCAAACACAATTTCCATGGACCTGGGGTGCTGCTTTGCTGCAGTTGCGTCACTCACAGCATCCTGTACTGAACTCTGCTCCTTTCCTGTGTCTGTCGGGACGCAGGTTACATTCCATGCTAACAGCAAACGCAGTCAGGTTGCAGCATGGCCTGTTTTCTTAACACAGGCTTTCAGGCTGGAGTTAACACTTTCCTTTCCTTTTAAAGAACGGCACATTTCTCATCCCCGGCCTTCTTGCCTCTCCCTCTCTCTCAGAGCAACACCATTGCTTTGTAAAGCAAACGTTTCCACCCTGATGCCTGTGTTTGATTCCTGTGTCTCTGCTTCCTGCATATCAAGAGCTGAGCCCAATCTCTCTTTAAATGAAAGGAGATTCCTTGTATTTGAGAGCTGTTGTGCCCAGAGCAAGATTGTGCTCAAGGAAAAAGACACACACACATACAGAGAGAGAGACTAAAAGCTAGCTGTAGAAAACCAATTTTTACAACTGGGATGAGTATTGATTTCTAGCACCTCTTCCCGCAAAGAGAAGGAGGAGATGGGCGACCGTTTATATAAGACTGCAATATATCGGAAATACATATTAATGGCAGCTGTGGAAAAGCTTTGGGTCTTTATTGTCCCTTTTGATTTCAGCACTTTTCTTCTTCTTTGTTCTCTGTAGCTCCTTCCCTCTCCCTTAAAGGGACAAATTTCCCCCTGGAATGGTCAGACGCTGCTGATTTGGAGCTGTGTGTTGCTGGGCCTTCAACTTCCCATCAGCCTCAGTCAGCTTGGTTAGCAGCCAAGGATGATGGGATTTGGAGTCCAGCCCTATCTAGGCAGCCACAAGTTCTCCATTTCCTGCTTCAGAGATGAACGCCTTTCTGCTTCCAGGGTGGTAAAAGTGTGAGTGCTTGGTGACCCAGTTCACTTTCTCCTGCATATCACACATAGTTAGTGTGAAACTAACGAAGCTCCAGCTTCAGGGCCCTTAATTTGGAGAGGTGCCAGAAGCAACTTCAGTCCAAATTGCTTTAAAAAAAAATTGGGTCTAGTAGACCGATTTGAGCAGCACAACTCAAATTAATTAATTTTTCATTGCATATATTTCAACAATCCCAAAGTTTGAGAGTCAGTAGCACAGACTTTATAATGGGTGTGGGATCTGTCGTGGAACAACCCAATTGAAGGAGATTACAGTGGTTACCCAGACTTCATTGCTGGTTGCAAAAAGGTAAAGGGACCCCTGGACCATTAGGTCCAGTCGTGACCGACTCTGGAGTTGCGGCGCTCATCTCGCTTTATTGGCCAAGGGAGCCAGTGACAGCATCCGGGTCATGTGGCCAGCATGACTAAGCCGCTTCTGGCGAACCAGAGCAGCGCACGGAAACGCCGTTTACCTTCCCACTGGAGTGGTACCTATTTATTTACTTGCACTTTAATGTGCTTTCGAACTGCTAGGTTGACAGGCGCTTGTTGCAAAGAGGCCCCCATTTGGGGGAATCCAAAAATGCAGGTTTGCCACTGGACTCCATTTAGCTTATGAGTCTAAATCTCCTTTTAAAGACATTACAGCAGTGGCCAATCACCATGTTCTGTATGACATGAGTCTCAAACGTGGAGTTGTCGTTGATGAAGCCAGATACTTTAAAGCAACTTATCCGCATCTGGTGCTGCTCAGGTGTTTTTGGGCTACAAATCCATCATCGTTGACTATGAAGTCCAAAACATCTGGAATGCCGCAGGTTACGAAAGGCTGCTTTTAAATTTCTTGAATCCTGTGCCTGGCGCACGTGCGCGCGCGCGCACACACACACACACAAAAAGGCAAGTAGCCTATTATTGCCCAATTTAACATTTGACAGTAGTCTCCAGTTTGAAACTTGCTTTCAAATTGGAATGATAAAAACCTGGAAGGGGGGGGGAGAGCCCCAAATGGTTTTGTTCTGTTCTTTCATCTTTTACCGTTAATGAAGTTTTGCCCTTTTCATTCATAATGAAATGAAATATTAAGCCTTTTCATTCCTCTGGGTGAGAGTCCAAGTTCCATCTCCCATACTGGGAGGGACATGTGTGAGTCTCGTAATTAGAAATCTGTGTGGGCTGACGAGGGAGGGGGGGAGCAGGTGGAAGAGGCGGTAGGTGGTAGGTTTTTTCCTCACCACCCATGCCAGATAATCTGTATTGCATCCGCTTCGTAGGGGAAATGATTAAAGTGAGCTGTGAGGCTCGCGTCCATCTTCTTGCAATGAGCAATTGACAGTCGTTTTTTCATGGAAATCCAAGTTCCACACTAGCATGCTGCAGTCCAGCAAAATCTCAACTACACCCCTAACCCTAATTTAGCCCCAGTGGGATGCTGGGATTGTAACCACAGGGTTACAATTGAGGGAAGAAGCTTCAGAACTGACAAGGGAAAGGATTTGGTGGTCGCCCCAGAGGGCCAATTTTGGCCCACCAGACGCTTTCGAACTCTCCCCAAGGCACCGCCACTCCACGCCGATCCTTGCTTCCCACTCCAAATGTTTTAATTCTGGCCAGAGTGTGTCCTTGGACTCTTAATAGTGCCTTCTTGCTTCTCTAGATGGCGGCTCGAGTTTCCCCGTCCCCTTTTGCCTCTCCCCCCTCCCACCACTGGCGTGGCTTTGCCCAGGGGGACATTGATTCCCTCACGGTGAAAAGTGCTTCCCGACCCAGCTAGAAAATGGATACGGAAGCTGTGGGGTTCTGTTTCCAAGCACAATTCAAAGTGTTGGGGCTGACCTTTAAAGCCCTAAACGGCCTCGGCCCAGTATACCTGAAGGAGCATCTCCACTTCCACCGTCTGCCGGACACTGAGGTCCAGCGCTGAGGGCCTTCTGGCGGTTCCCTCACTGCGAGAAAGTGAGGTGACAGGGAACCAGGCAGAGGGGCCTTCTTGGTAGTGGCACCCGCCCTGTGGAACACCCTCCCACAGATGTCAAGGAAATAAACAACTCTCTGACTTTTAGAAGACATCTGAAGGCAGCCCTGTTTAGGGAAGTTTTTAATGTTTGATGTTTTATTATGTGTGTTTTTATATTCTGTTGGAAGCCACCCCAGAAAGGCTGGGGAGGCCTGGCAAGATGGGCCGGGTATAAGTAATACTTATTATTATTATTATTATTTTATTATTATTATTATTATGGGTCAGCTGTTAGGGCAGTGTGGGGCAGCACCGGAGCCAAAAATGGGTATTCTGGCTACATTCCTTTTCTCTCTTCTTGCCACATTCTTCGCTGCCAGGGGAGGGACAGGTCGCTGTTGCCAGAGGTCTGAACCCATCACTTTTGAAATCAGGCCATGGCCCACAGTTTGCCCACCCCTGCCTAGATGCCAGGGAGAATTTGAACACTAGAGGGGGGAGGCTGTGGATAGCCCATGACTCGCCTCAACCTGGATTCATCGTTTAGCATGGCGCGGCATCCCTTGCCTTCCCCTCATGGTTTTTTTAAGGTCTTTTCAAGGAAACAGATGTCAGATTTTAGAGCAGGCAGCCGTAAGGTGATCTTTGGCTCCTTGACAGGATGGTTTGGATGCGATCAGAGCTGCGGCATGAACGCTCTGCCTGACTGCCTCCGAATGAAAACACTTAAAAAGTTTCAGGGCGTTGCCTAAAACTGCATATTTCAGGATGTGTGCCATTCTTCACGTCCCCAAAACAGCTTTCCATTTCAAAGGATCTTGATAATAACTGCAGCAAGGAAAGCAAGCCATGCTTACTCCATTCTTTTAAAAAGTTTTATATTCTGTGTCTGGTTGCAAACGTAGGCCTTTATTTGTTGTTGTTTAGTCATTTAGTCATGTCCTGCTCTTCGTGACCCCATGGAGCTGTTAAGTGCAAGAGCACAGGAAACAGAAGTGTATAACCGCTCCCAAATTTGTATAAAGCCCTCTTGGCCTCCATCTTCTAACCTACTCACTTTTTGGGAATGGGAACTGGCATTACAGAGGGCAAGACTTGTTGTTTAGTTGTTTAGTCGTGTCCGACTCTTTGTGACCCCATGGACCAGAGCACACCAGGCACTCCTGTCTTCCACTGCCTCCTGCAGTTTGGTCAGACTCATGCTTGTAGCTTCGAGAACACTGTCCAACCATCTCGTCCTCTGTCGTCCCCTTCTCTTTGTGCCCTCCATCTTTCCCAACATCAGGGTCTTTTCCAGGGAGTCTCTCTTCTTCTCATGAGGTGGCCAAAGTATTGGAGCCTCAGCTTCAGGATCTGTCCTTCTAGTGAGCACTCAGGGCTGATTTCCCTCAGAATGGATAGGTTTGATCTTCTTACAGTACAGTACATGGTCTCCTCCAGCACCATAATTCAAAAGCGATTAGCCTTCTTTAATTTGAAGCATTCATGTTTGTGGTTCAGTGCACTGAATCTCCCATAATCCACTTCAGCAAGGATGCTGTGAGACCCTCATTTCTCATAGGAAGTCGGCCACAGGTGTGCATCATGGTATCTGTAGTCTGACTTTCGGTGTTTACCATCTGCCTTGCTTCCTCTCTGAATTTAACTTAAAGCAGTTTTCAAAACTGGGGGGGGGGATTTCTGGAGCTTACTTTTAGCTGAATGGAGAAAATAGAAAATTTACATTTTCAGCAGAAGGAAATGAGAACACTTCGCCACCCCCACCCGAGTCCTTCAATGAAAATGGTTTAAAGCGGTGGCTTTCTTG